TGCGAAAAAAATTAAAAAAAATAAAAGAATTCTTTGTTGTTTATCTGGAGTTCAAATTTAACTGAGCAGCCTATATTTTAATTTGCTAAATCTGGTGACCCTAGAGGGTGAACACTGGGGAGGGAACCAGGAACTTGAGGGATCAGAGGAGGAAAAGCCAATATCTACTAGAGAAGCTGACATTTGATTGGTACCTCAAAAGTTTCTCTAGATAAAGATGGAAGAGAAAGGCAGAATAGTCAAAAGGAGCAACATGAGATAAAGTGATGGGACAAGAAATTGGGAAGTATTTGGGAGCAGATCATAGATTGAATAGGGAAAACTGGGCGAGAGGACATTAAAGCATCTGTTATTTTGGTGCTTATTCAATGGCTAAAGGGGAGATGCATAGGGTTACTATTTCTTATTGTGAGCAGAAATGTGGAATTTTAAGTTTCTTATTCTTTTGCTGCAGGATAGGTGCCAGGCTATGTATATAAAAATAGTTATTCTTGTGAAACCAGAACTCTAAAGGTGGTATTTTAGAAAACTAAAAGTAAAACTGTAATAGTCATTTTAGTGGAGGAATATAGTAAGCAAAAGAGGAAGAAAAGACACTCTGTTGTCTGATTGTGGTTAAGGCTCTTAGTATTTTTAGGGCACAAACCTGTAGATGTGATGACAAGTGGCAATTGCAGTTATATCTTCATTTACCTAAGAAATATCTGCCTTTAGACTTAGATGTACTCTGGGTATGCAGCATTACTAAAATGAAATTAACATACTTAAAATAGAGGTGACCCAGATGTGGTGGCTTACGCCTGTAATCCCAGCACTTTGGGATGCCAAGGCAAAAGGACCACCTAAGACCAGGAGTTCAAGACTGGTCTGCACAACAAAGCAAGATTCTGTCTCTACCAAATATAAAAAATTAGCCGGGTGTGGTGGTGCATGCCGGTAATCTCAGCTACTTGGGAGGCTGAGGTAGGGAGGATTGCTTGAGCCTGGGAGGCTGCATTCATCCATGATTATGCCACTGCACTCTACCCTAGGCAATGAAGTGAGACCCTGTCTCAAAAATGAATAAATAAATAATAAAATAGAGGTGAGAGACTGGAGTCTTAATTCTGGAAGGTGTATTCCAGAAAAGTAAATTTAGTGGTATGAGCAAAGATCTGAGGCAATTCCCAACTGAATAACATGAAAACACATTAAACATAAATGGATATATGGTCACTTTGATCTAAACCACAGGGAAATGTTAAAAGTTAAAACTTGCAGAGTATAGCCAGATAGCAGGGCTTTTACAAAGGAAGAGAGATGTAAAACATGGCGATGAGGAAAAGCTGGAAAGCAGGTACCTGATCCCTGGACATGTGTCCCAGTTGTCTTTATGGGACAGTTAAGATAAACACATGAAACTTTAAAGGGCAAATGCAGTGCTTTAGTTGTTTTTCTGTTTTTTTAACAATATCCTTATTTATCCACCTTGATGATTTCACCTGCTCTTCAATGTGGGCCACGGATGCATATCCTGCTCATTTCTTTGATATCCCAGAACATATTCCTGCTGATGAAGTTTCTGCCATGTATCGTGGAAGACTAAAAACACATAAATCCCGACAATTAGAAATTTTAATTCTCAAAGGACACAGTTGAGAAATCTTAAGAATTGTTATTGAAAGCTCTCATGTGCAACTGTACGTTTCAAATGACCCATGTTGGTTTTCTGATTAATATGGAATTGTGACATTAGATTTTTGGCTATCAAAATTTTATTAGTGTTAATTAAATCTGCCTTTTCTTTCTAACTCATGGGTGTTCTGGACTCTTTTTTTTTTGTCACCAAGAACTTCTCTGGCCTTTTATGAGAAGCATCTACTGAGAGAAGTATGGAGGCTAAGAGATGGAAGAGTAGGGGGAGGAGGCCTGAGATCTGCAGGCTCCTAGGAGAGACAAGTCACCTGGTGGGGCAGGCCCTGCAGGATGCATTGCCACAGCAGAGGGTGGGCATCTCTGGAAACTTCCCCTTAGAGCAGAGAGAGACTGTTCGGAAGAGCAACTCTACTTCTCTCTTTTCTTTTCATGGTGGCTGGTAGCTATTTTATCCATTTCCCTCCTGTTATGCCTATGGCTTTTCCTCCTCAAGTAATATGTAGCTGCAGTACAGTGAGATACAGCTCGCTGCAGACTATGGAAAGTAATGGTATTTAGTTAGAGTCTGAAAACCTAACTTTGAGACCTTTTACTGCCATTTGTTAGGGCATGACCTTGGGCATGGCATTTAACCACTCTGAGCTTTGGTTTTCTCATCCTTAAACTGCATATCCATATTTCATGTATTATCTGTCTCACGTAATTATTGAGGATTAAATGAGAAAATGTAAATTAAAGTTTATCTTAGGGCTATGATGATGATTGTGATTAGTATTATTTAAAAGCCCAGTGGGTGAACCAGTTTTTCTCACCTGGAAAAATAAAGAATTCCTATTCAAAGTCTTACTGAACAGAAATCAGTACTAACTTGCTTATTTGAATTTTTATAATGAAGTAAAAATGCAAGATAGATGGAATTTTTGAAGAAGCTCTTGACTGTTGAATAATTCTTATACATTTTGAAAACTGTCACAATATAAGTATTTTTAAAGTAGTATATAATGGTTCCTGAAAATACCTGAAATGCCCATCCTTTTATACATGTCGAAGTATGCAATTTGTTCTAAATGTCTAATCTTGAATGATTAAATAATTTGCATACTGTTTTCGGTGCTATGAATTAAAGGCTAATTGAAGTATAATTTTTGCAGTAAAATCATCTTTTATGTAGTACATTAAAAATATTCTAGGCCAGTTCTAATTTTATAGTTTTATTATTTTAATTTAATGCACCAAGTAATTAAAAATTGCTGCAAAGAAAAGCTGAAAATGATTTTAGTTAATTTCCCTTCAAGAAAGTGAAAAGATGATAAGTACAATAATGGAAGAGCCCAACACAGTTCCTGGCACATAAAGATATTCATTAAATATTCCTTAATGAATAAGGAATGACTAATTCCTAAAGTGTCTCTAGACTTTGAGAAAAGGCACCATTCTCAGTGCTGTATAAAATACAAAGAGGATAGGTTGACATCTTTATATTAAAGTACCTCCATGCAGAGTTCTCACAAGCCAATTTTTATTGAATCATTAGATCTGCAGTTTGCTCTGCCTTCCTCTTCTCCTTGTTCTTGGAGTAGATTCTCAGGCCTAAGTCAGTTACAGATATTGAGAGACAGTTCTCCATGGGTATCATGCATTTCTGTAAGGCACTGACTTCTCTTTGTTCTGGACTATCTCTTCAAGGATGTTTATATAGCAAGTAGCTGTGGAAGACGAAAATAGTCTCTTCCTCTGGAGCAAAGTATAGGTTTGTTTATAGCCTTGGAAGATAGAGGCTTAGTGTCTCCTTCCAGAATAAAGTCTAATAAAGATAGTAGCTCCCTCTGAGACAAAAGCAGGGATGCTTATTGCTTATTATAAAAGATTTGGGTTCCCTAAGCTAATGGTTCCTCTCCTATAATGTAACCCACTGCATGTGCAAATGTTACCTGGTCCTTACTCTGTCATCCCGTGGGAACTGGGGCTTAGGAAACTGGAGCAAGAAATGCTGATGTTTAGGCTACTCTTGCTACTGTTGATTAATAAACTGCCTTTTGTCTCTGACCAAGGCACCTCCTGTGTTCTGCCAGCATCCATGAAGCTATGGAAAGCTAACTTGTTATCTTGCAAGTAGGATAAAATCTCAAACCCTAAACAATTCTTTTTGTTTGTTTTGAGACAGGGTCTTGCTCTGTTGCCCAAGCTAGAGTGCAGTGGTGTGATCATGGCTCACTTTAGTCTCAACCTCCTGGGCTCAAGCAATCTTCCCACCTTTCAGCCTCCCAAGTAGCTGGGACCACAGGTGGGCACCACCACACCCAGCTAATTTTTTTTAATTAATTTTTTTTTTCTTTATAGAGACAGGATTTTGCCAAGTTACCCAAGCTGGTCTTGAACTCTTGGGCTCAAGCAATCTGTCTGCCTTGGCCTGCCAAAGTGGTGGGATTACAGGCATGAGCCACTGTGCCTGGCCCCTAAACAATCCTTGACAACAGATTGCAGCAATATTTGGGTAACTTAGCTGATATGGTGTGGTATAGTTGGTACACTCATGTAGGCAAGGAACCCTTTTACCTCCAGGGGCTGACCACTCATTTGGATATACGTAGGGACCCTGAGAACATATTCTCAAGAGGAGAAATGAACGGGCATTGGGGTTGGAAGTAGAAGATGGGATGAGACCTAGAGCTTTTGGCCCAGAGCACTGGCTAGAACTATGAAGCCTCTAGTAACCCTCGTTTGAGGTAGTGGTTCGGTGGAGGTGGACAGAGGCAATATAGAGGAAGGAGGAGGGAAAACAGGTTGATAGACGAAAGAAGATTCCAGAAAACTTCACAGCAGCTGAAAGTCATTCACTGTTACTGAAACTTCTAAGTCAATGTTGACACCTCTCATTCCAAAGCTTATTAGCGTTTGTTTTTTGAGACATGAGTATGCATTTTTGTGAGCACTCTACATTGGGGCCTTAATGCCTTGTTGAGCGTGCTCATATTGAGTGATTGAGTGCTTGCTGGTGGCTGAATGTGAACAGGCTTGTTCTAGGAATAGATATGCTGGCAGCATCTGGTACTTTTGGTCACACTATGTCCCCTGTCCTTCATCCCCCATCCTTACCCCAGTCTTTATGGTTTATTAAAATACTTCCCTACCACCACTTAACGCAACTCTAATCACATGCAAGGCTGGCCACAGAGCTCTGAACCTCGAAGTCTCAGCTCCTTATAACTCACTCAGAGTTGGAGCTTACTAATGCTGTTTCCTAGAATGAGCCCTTTGCCCAGTTTTCTGTTATGGAAAAGTATTCTGGGTTGTTTGTTAGTGAATGTGCTGTATCTTCTTGTTGGCCACGTGATAAAACAGTTGTATTTTCTTTCATGCCATAGGGACTTCTATCCAGCGTCATCGGATTACTCTCCCGCCTCCTGATGAGGATCAGTTTTATACCGTGTATCATTTTAATGTCGGCACAGAGGTTGTCTTCTATGGCAGGATATTCAAGATTTATGACTGTGATACATTCACAAGAAACTTTTTGAGGAAATTAGGAGTCAAAGTGAATCCACCAGTACAACGTCCGGAAGATCCTTACATTAAGATTCGGAGAGAGGTAAGGAATTGATGTTTGTTGAGTTCTTGTCTTCACAGTAAGAATCCCTTTGGAAAGTCAGTAAAGGGTATTTATACTCCAGATACAGATGTGAAAGAGCTCTTCGGGCCATAGTTAATCAAGTTATTTTGTTCTTCTTTGGGCTAGCGGGAAGGCTGAGTGTTAGCAACAGAATAGGAATGACTTCCTCATTGCCTCACCCCAATTCTCTCTGCAGAGAGTCTCCCTTTCAGAAGTAGGAGTCTTCAGTGAACTGCTCAGGTGAGACAGTTTCTAGGTACCCACAATTGGGTTTGTGGTCACTGGTGGTATATAAGTTGTATCCATACTTCCTTGGCCTGTGTTTTTACATTTTAGTTGCCTAACTCTGGCTGGAAAGATTTTTGCTTCTATGCTAGTGATTTAGTGAACCAAGACTTGGGTGTGCACCTTTTTTCTTCCTCCTAGGAACTCCCAGGTCCTCTTAGGGTGGCACTGGATGCCAAGATGCTCTGGAAGAATAAGGAGGACCATGATTCTGGTGTACCCCCTTTAGGAAAGGATGTTTATCTACAAAGTGTGACCCCAGCTAGTGTAAGGGAGTAAAGACTCAGTATTTTTAGTATTATTTTTTTCTTCCTATTTTTTTTAACAGTCCCTTGGCCCAAATTTTGTTTTCCAGAGGAAGAATCTGAACACTCAAAGGGGTGGAAGGTAACACACCCAGCTAATCTCCTTGCTGGGACTGCATTGAAATCTCTTGACTCTTACCCTGATTTTCATCGTTGTCATTTGTTTTCTCTTTCCTTTTCTATTGAAATGTGATTATACACAGTAAAATACACAGAAGTTAAGTGTACAGTTGGATCAGTCTTAACAAATACATGTATCCCTATAACCTACCCCCAGATTGAGATGTAGAACATTTCCCTCCCCCAAGAAAGCCCCCCCCCACCCACCACCATGAGTTTTGTGAATCAATCCCTCTCCCCACCATGGACAACCGCTGTTCTTATTTCTCTCCCCATAGATGCGTTTTCTCTGATTTTTATTGTTTTAAAACTTATAATTCATTTCCTCGTAGACAGATAACAAAATTTCCTTGTAGAGAGGTAATGAAATTCTTATAGAGAGGTAACAAGGAAACACAATTTCCTTGTAGAGAGGTAACAAAATTCTCTTTTGATTCTGTTTTGATCTCTTTTTAAAAGCCACATGTAAGATCATTCATCTATTCCTGCCTCCCAGCCCCAGCAGAATTATTCTTTAATGTTGTAGGCATACAGCCCTCTGGAGAAATATATATATATTTTGTTGATCCTAGAATATCTAAGGTGAAATGCCTGTATATCGATGTACAAAGGGATTTTTTTTGATTTGGATTCATTTTTATTTTTTCCAAATGCCATAGATGAAAGAGTCTAGATAAATAGAAAGCATTTAGAACCAGCAGAGAGAAACTGAAGGAAATGGATCCAAAAGAATTGTCACCCTTTGCATATGGCTGCACTCGTCCACTAACAGTTGGTGTTATATGATAGTGACTGTGAATAATGATGTGTTATATGAAATCACACAGAGCACTGTGGGATTTTATAGGTCTATAAAGAAAAAGACCTTTTTAAAAAAATTATACTTTAAGTTCTGGGGTACATGTGCAGAACATGCAGTTTTGTTACATAGGTATACATGTGCCATGGTGGTTTTTGGCACCCATCAACCCGTTATCTACATTAGGTATTTCATCTAATGCTATCCCTCCCCTAGCCCCCCACCCCCCAACAGGCCCCAGTGTGTGATGTTCCCCTTCCTGTATCCATGTGTTCTCATTGTTCAGCTCCCACTTATGAGTGAGAACATGCAGTGTCTGGTTTTCTGTTCCTGTGTTAGTTTGCTGAGAATGATAGTTTCCAATTTCATCCATGTCCCTGTAAAGGACATGAACTCATCCCTTTTCATAGCTGCATAGTATTCCATGGTATATATGTGCCACATTTTCTTTATCCATTCTGTCATTGATGGGCATGTGGGTTGGTTCCAAGTCTTTGCTATTGTGAATAGTGCTGCAATAAAACATATGTGTGCCTGTGTCTTTATAGTAGAATGATTTATAATCCTTTGGGTATATACCCAGTAATGGGGTGCTGGGATAAATGGTATTTCTGGTTCTAGATCCTTGAGGAATCGCCACACTGTATTCCACAATAGTTAACTAATTTACACCCCCACCAACAGTGTAAAAGTGTTCCTATTTCTCCACATCCTCTCCAGCATCTGTTGTTTCCTGACTTTTTATGATTGCCATTCTAACTGGAGTGAGATGGTATCTCATTGAGGTTTTGATTTGCATTTCTCTAATGACCAGTGTTGATGAGCTTTTTTTCATATGTTTGTTGGCTACATAAACATCTTCTTTTGAGGACTGTTCATATCCTTTGTCCACTTTTTGATGGGTTTTTTCTTTCTTGTAAATTTAAGTTCCTTGTAGATTCTGGATATTAGCCCTCTGTCAGATGGGTAGATTGCCAAAATTTTCTCCCATTCTATAGGTTGCCTGTTCACTGTGATGATAGTTTCCTTTGCTGTGCAGAAGCTCTTTAATTTAATTAGATCCCATTTGTCAATTTTGGCTTTTGTTGCCATTGCTTTTGGTGTTTTAGTCATGAAGTCTTTGCCCATGCCTGTGTCCTGAATGGTATTGCCTAGGTTTTCTTCTAGGGTTTTTATGGTTTTAGGTCTTACATTTAAGTCTAATGCATCTTGAGTTAATTTTTAGATAAGGTGTAAGGAAGGGGTCCAGTTTCAATTTTCTGCATATGGCTGGCCACTTTTCCCAACACCATTTATTAAACAGAGAATCCTTTCCCCGTTGTTTGTTTTTTTCAGGTTTGTCACAGATCAGATGGTTATAGGTGTGTGGAATTATATCTGAGACCTCTGTTCTATTCTATTGGTCTATATGTCTGTTTTGGTACCAGTACCATGCTGTTTTGGTTACTGTAGCCTTGTAGTATAGTTTGAAGTCAGGTTGTGTGATGCCCCCAGCTTTGTTCTTTTTGTTTAGGATTGTCTTGGCTATATGGGCTTGTTTTTGCTTCCATTTGAAATTTAAAGTAGTTTTTTTCTAATTCTGTGAAGAAAGTCAATGGTAGCTTGATGGAGATAGCATTGAATCTATAAATTACTGCGGGCTGTATGGCCATTCCAAATATTGATTTTCTTATCTATGAGCATAGAATGTTTTTCCTTTGTTTGTGTCCACTCTTATTTCCTTGAGCAGAGGTTTGTAGTTTTCCTTGAAGAGGTCCTTCACATCCCTTGTAAGTTGTATTCCTAGGTATTTTATTGTCTTTGTAGTAATTGTGAATGGACATTCACTCATGATTTGGCTCTCTGTTTGTCTATTATTGTTGTATAGGAATTCTTGTGATTTTTTTGCACATTGATTTTGTATCCTGAGACTTAGCTGAAGTTGCTTATCAGCTTAAGAAGATTTTGGGCTGAGAGGATAGGGTTTTCTATATAGACAGTCATGTCATCTGCAAACAGATACTTTGACTTTCTCTCTTCCTATTTGAATACCCTTATATTTCTTTCTCTTGCCTGATTTCCCTGGCCAGAACTTCCAATACTGTGTTGAATAGAAGTGGTGAGAGAGGGCATCCTTGTCTTGTGCTGGTTTTCAAAGGGAATGCTTCCAGCATTTGCCCATTCAGTATGATATTGGCTGTGGGTCTGTCATAAATAGCTCTTATTATTTTGAGATACATTCCATCAATACCTAGTTTACTGAGAGTTTTTAGCATGAAGGGGTGTTGAATTTTATCAAAGGCTTTTTCTGCATCTATTGAGATAATCATGCGATTTTTTTTCATTGGTTCTGTTTATGTGATGGATCATGTTTATTGATTTGCATATGTTTAACCGACCTTGCATCCCAGGGATGAAGCTGACTTGATTGCGGTAGATAAGCTTTTTGATGTGCTACTGGATTTGGCTTGCCAGTATTTTATTGAAGATTTTTGCATTGATATTCATCAGGGATATTGGCCTGAAATTTTCTTTTTTAGTTGTGTCTCTGCCAGGTTTTGGTATCAGGATGATGCTAACCTGATAAAATGAGTTAGGGAGGAGTCCCCCTTTTTTTATTGTTTGGAATTGTTTCAGAAGCAATAGTACCAGCTCCTCTTTGTACCCCTGGTAGAATTCGGCTGTGAATCCATGTGGTCCTGGGCTTTTTTTGGTTGGTAGGCTATTAATTACTACCTCAATTTCAGAACTTGTTATTAGTGTATTCAGAGATTTGACTTCTCCCTGGTTTAGTCTTGGGAGGGTGTATGTGTCCAGGAATTTATCAATTTATTCTGGATTTTCTAGTTTATTTGCATAGTGGTGTTTATAGTATTCTCTGATAGTAGTTTGTATTTCTGTGGCAGTGGTGATATCCCCTTTATCATTTTTTATTGTATCTATTCGATTCTTCTCTCTTTTCTTCTTTATTTTTCTGGGTAGTGGTCTATCTATTTTGTTAATCTTTTCAAAAAACCAGCTCCTGGATTCACTGATTCTTTTGAAGGTTTTTTTTGTGTCTCTATCTCTGTCAGTTCTGCTGTGATCTTAGTTGTTTCTTGTCTTCTACTAGCTTTTGAATTTGTTTGCTCTTGCTTCTCTAGTTCTTTTAATTGTGATGGTAGGGTGTTGATTTTAGATCTTTCCTGCTTTCTTCTGTGGTGATTTAGTGCTATAAATTTCCCTCTAAACACTGCTTTAGCTGTGTCCCAGAGATTCTGGTATGTTGTGTTTTTGTTGTCATTGGTTTCAAAGAACTTATTTATTTTGGCCTTAATTTTGTTGTTTATCCAGTAGTCATTTAGAAGCAGGTTTTTCAGCTTCCTTGTCATTGTGTGATTTTGAGTGAGTTTCTTAATCCTGAGTTCTAATTTGATTGCACTGTGGTCTACGAGACTGTTATGATTTCTGTTCTTTTGCATTTGCTGAGGAGTATTTTACTTACAATTATG